ACTTGGAAGGCTGAGGCAGAAGGATCGCCGGAGCCCAGCAGGTCGAGGCTGAGGTGGCTGTGCGTGTGCCACTGCATTCTAGCCTGGGTGACAGAGTGAGACTCCAACTCAAAAAAAAAAAAAGACAGTAATGTAATTAATGAAATGTAATGAAAGCTAAAGGACCTAAATCTGGTTCTTTAAGTTCACTGTTTACTGAATGCCTCCTATGGGTCAGGCACTGACTGTTTGAGTCATTGGGGATACAGCAGTAAACACAATAGACAAAAACCCCAGTACAGTCCCTCATCAGGGCCTTTACAACTGCGGTTCCTTCTGCCGGGAATGCTCTTATCCTCAGTTTATCTGCTGCCTCATCTTCCTGCTATTTTTCTCCAAAGCACTTACTACCTCTGACTTTCTTTCCTTCTCTTTCTTGTACTTTCTTTCTATCTTTCTGTATGTCATTTCTTCCTGTCTTTTCTTTGTCCTTCCTTCCTTTCTCTCTTTCTGTCAATCTGGTTTTCTATAAAGCCCCACTAAAATGGGGGCCTAAACTATTGTCTGTTTTCTTCACTGCCTTATCATTAGTGCTTAAAACAGGGCCTGGAACGCGGTAAGAAATATTTGTTTAACAGATGAATCCCTACTTTCACGAAGATTACCCCCTCTCTTTAAATTTAAGATTTGAAGATGATGGGTCAGAAGACAGAATCTTAGAATCAGAGGCAAATATTAATTTCGGATATCAAAGTCTAGGCTCATAAATCAGGAACTAAGGACCAAAAATCTTATTAGGAGGTTAGGGGTCAGGAGGAGCCAGAACCAGAGTTCTCATGAAATTCTCAGGATCGGAGTCAGGAAGGTCAAGTCGGGTATTGAGATTAGTGGATAGAATGGGGATTCCAAGAACTGAGAATCACAGTTCAAGAAAAGAAGGTCAGAAATTATTGGGTTAGGAACAAAGCTGGATAGGAGGTTGGCTTTGTTAAAAGTTAGGACTTGGGGGTTAGAGGTCAGGAGGTCCAGCATCGGAAGTCAGATTCAGGGGTAGGAGGTTAGAAACCTCAGGGATCAGAGTCTAATCGGGAATCAAACGGCGGACCCCAGGGTTCGGCTTGGCAGCCTAAGGTTCACTCACGTGTCCCCATCCTCAGTGACGTAGCCGAAGACGAGGGGTGCCCACGACAGCCCCGGGCCCAGCTCCGCGCCCAGCCCCGCTCCTCCGGGGGCCGCTGCGTCCGGACCCAGAGAGCCCAGGCCGCTGTCGCACCACTCATCTGCGTCGGCAGCTTTCCCCAAGCACGCGACCACAGCCATGGCCCCCGCCACCACAGGGGCCCCCGAGGCCGCCCGCCTGTAGCTGGGCTCTGCCGCGAGCTCCGCTGCTTCCGCCCTGCTGGGAATTTCCCCCGCCACGCCCCCCGATTCATCCAATCAGAGCAGGCTAAATTGATCACGCCCGCCCCCGTACCGCACTCTGACCAATCAGAGTATTTGCGTGTACTACCAGGCCCTAGCCCTTCCCACATTTTCCGGGCGCCCTTTACCAACATGGCTGCCGACGCCAGGCCCTCTGGGATTCGTAGTCCGGTCCTCGCGTGTCTCACCTAAGAGAGGCGAGCCCTGGGCTTTGCGCAAAAGCGTGTGAGTACGGCCGCGATGGCTGCTGGGAGTTGTAGTTCTCTGCCCTCTCCCTGCCCCTCCTGTTTCCGGTGCCGTCACGGGACAGAGCAGTCGGTGACAGCCCCGAGGGCCCCCGCCCCGCGCCCATGGCCGAGCCGGACCGTGAGTCGGGGACCCCGATGGGAGGGTCGGGCCGCGCCGGGGCCTGGCTGGGGGCTGCAGGCCCCGGGGCCCGAGGGCGGGCGCGGTGGGG